TTGAAACCAAAAATCGCCGACTAATAAAACGGATTTTGCAATCGGGCGACCATTTGTCGACTGCTTTTCAACGAACGACACGTTCGTAAACAACCATCGGTTTATCTCTGATTGTGAGTCGATCCAACGACGATCGAGCTCCACAATTCATATAAAATTCCTGCGGATTCTTCGACATTCTTCAGCAATCGTTCTTAAATCCACATGTTGAATTACCGAGTGTGTTTTGCTTCCATGATCGAGATTATCCTCCGCATCGGCGATTCCAGTCTAGTTGAAATTTTCAGATTTGTCGGGCAAGAGGAGCGACGAGACAAGGATCGAAGTTGAGAACGAGACGCAAAAATAGCTCCAGAGCATCTTTTCGTTCACACTCTCTCTCTCTCTCTCTCTCTTTCTCTTTCTCTCCGTTCTCTTCGCTTTTGCGACTTCCCTTTTTTCTTAAGCTTCGTCTGCTTCAATTCCTCAGAGAAATCACCGATTAAGCGTTTGTCAGGTGAACGCGAACGCGTCGCCATTTGTATTTTTTAATTGTAATTCCGTCACGTCGACTCTTTCCCCCGAGGACGAAATGAAATACCGGGAATACAATTCCGTGGAAAATACATCGTCTAGAAAACTGCATCATCTTCGAGACGCAAATAGAATTGACATGGTGCAGTTATGATTAATTCATTGAATCATTAATATGCAATTTTTTTTCATTTAATTTACATTACTGAACATTACATTCTGTTTTAATATCGTAATTATGAAAATTAATTCCAAGGATTCTCTTTACATTTTTTTTTTTTTTTTTATTACTATCATCATTTCACAAAACTTAAAGAAACTGAAATATCTACAATGTTATATAGCAAACAATTACTTGGTCCTTGACGAGTTAACAACAAGTTGGTCGTTTGCGAAAGATAGCAGTCAATTACAAACAATTCCTTGTTTCACAACGGAATCACAATATTAACTGTTTTATATGCATTCGATGGAAAACTTCTCATTGAGAGAATTAGTTCTCGAACACGTTTCAACCGATATAATACATATTTATTATCTGTCCTATACAATTGCTTCGTAATCCGAAACAATTACTTAACATTTGACATTACAGCAAATATTATGCTTTCGTAATCACGTTTCAGCTACTTGAAACACCCTTTGTTATACACTGTATATCACGTATAGGGGTCTGAGCCATGTTTAAAGCGTACTTTGTACTGCCTTAACTGATGTTCCGCACCCTTATCTCCTCAGGTTTCTGTCAATTCGTTTATCCAGACGTTCGAACGTGCTTAGCTTCAAACCCTGAGGCCCGACAACCTTTAATAATATCGTTACGTTACCTTCAAATAATTATACTCGTTTAAATTTTCCATCTAAAATCAAATTAAGGGCCGAGATCTTTAGAAATATGTTAATAAAAAAAAAAAAAATAACACCGAAAGATGACAAGTTATCGATGAGAATTAAAAGCCAAAGGAGAACAAAGTAAGAAAGAAGATAAAATTAGAAATTAAAAGGAAAATTTCAATGATCGAATTATATAATAACCATAAACATCATAAAAAGACGATTCAATGAAATGATCAATAGGTAAGAAAAATTAAAATTGATACGAATGAAAATGAAATTAATAGGAATAAATTTGAAGATTCCTCGAACGCAAACGATATTTATATATTAAAGATATTTCTGGACTTTAAAGAATATTTATTATCTAAGAGTGGACGTATTTTACAGAAAATGCAATGTCATTACAAAGTTACCAATGCAAGAAATATGGTACGATGCGTGCGAAATTATACAGCATTGTATAGTGTATAAAGGATTGTAATCAGACTGCAGACTTTTATGCAAACTCACATTTTTAAGGATACACGTCGCTAGAAAAATGTTCCACTATATTATATTATATTACATTATATTATATTCCGTCGATCTCGTCTAAATTTCATAATTGTAAGTGGTTCAGACACGAAAATTTTGACGAATAACGATCATACTCGTATCGAGGAAGCTACCTCGCGACGCGTTCCATCGATTCGTCGAGACGAAACTGGTTGTCCAGGTGCTCAAAAAGGTACGCAACGATCGGTCGATTTGACGCTTTGCCCCGTTGGAACCAGTTGTTACACTGTGGACGACGATCATGGCGATAGATTAGACCTCTGTCCCGAAATACAAATCGAGTTCCGTCAAAGGAATGCAACATTGTACGCGTACGGTTGATCTCTCTAACGACGCGGTGACAGAGATTGAAGAAGAGGCTGAAGAAGAGGCCTGGCCAGTGTATTAGCCGGTGAGACAGAGCCGAGTTAAACGACGAATTCTTCGTGCGGAATCGAGCGGAGGGAAAGCGGTGTGCCAAAACGTTCGACTCTGGACGCGAGAGTGGCGTGTCGTTGCCAAGAACTCGTGACCTCCGAAACCGAATCGCGTCCCTCTTTGCTTCTCTGCTGCTCGGAGGAGCTCGCGCAGATGGGGCCCAGGTCCTCTCGATTTTTTTGCAATTTCTTCGATCGACTTTCCCGACTTTCTCCCGAAGCCGAGACTTTCCCGCAAATTGGCATACGCGTCGAATTTCGCGTAACAGCCGCGAGACGAACCAAGGACACGACCTCCACAGCCGACCATTAACTTTCGGAGGAAAGTACGACGACCCGATAAATCTTCAACTACGCGTCGACACACTTTTGGAAGAGTAATTTGCCCGACACGGTTCCTCGCTGTCGAGTCGCACGATTATTCAAATTCTGCCAAGTAACTTCGTTAATGGGAAGTAACGATAATCGATATAACGACATTTCTGTTGCGACACAATTCTCCAGCTGTTCGATCGTTAGAACTTTGGGAGACTTTGACCTACGACAAAAATTCCGAGGAACTCTCCAGAACCCTTGAAGAGCATGATTTAATTTATTTTTAAACCGTTCGAAGCAATCGCCCGGAGGTTTCTCACTCCGCGCGCTGTACTCAATTTCCTGTTGACCTATTTATATCGTTCCCAACTGAAGAGAAATCACGCTCTCGTCAAGATTCTCGGCTCTCGGTTCGATAGCTTCCAACGAAAAAAATCATTGACAAACAACTGAATTTTACCTCCACCGCTTCAGTCTCGCGCGATTCTCCATATTGTTGCGTATTCTTTCCGTGAGAAATTGGCTTTCGCAAACGATCTGTGCGTACTTTGTCAGCCGCGTAGAAAGGAAGACTGAAAGAGAGAGAGAGAGAGAGAAGCTGCGCGTAGATACGCGGATAAGAAAAGCACCGATAAACAGCGCGGCAAAGAAGATAGAAGCTAGGGAACGCGCAATAGAGGAAGTGGTTACGGATCAGAAGGAAATTGTGACTTATAACATCCTCGCAGAAAATCGTGTTTGCGCACGTGCGAACCTACTTCTGCCGCGTGTTTCACGCTGCATTTCATAGTTCGACCGCTGCGCGATGGCGCAGACTTGCCGATCATTCTCCGCGAATTGCGTCAAACGTCGTTGGGTACAAAAGAAGAATAATTTTAAAGAATGTTGGAACGAAGGGAAAGAGCCGCGCGTCGTAAAAAGTTCCGTATACAGGGATAAATAATCTCTGTCGTATCTTCGCTTCGTCGAGTGAATGCGAAACGAAGCTCGTGTCCGATGCTCCAGGTGCGTAAAAAGTCGACGAACTGCAACTAGCCCTGACCAACATAGATACGAGCAGATGATTTTTCATGAATCACGGCTAACGAAGCCTTCGGAGGAAGGAAGAGCGTGATTTACGTAAATGTGGCCGTGATTCCGCCTGTGGCCGGTTATGTCACAAGGTTCTTGTTCGTGTTTCAAGACGCGAGTGCCACCTCGGATCTTCCACCTCGTGACACATGTTTCGTTGAATCGTCACTTTGACGTTGTCACATGCGCGAAAACATAAAACATTGCGCTTGACTCGCAAAATCAAATCATAATTTTTTTTCCTTCAATTTCGAACTCGTTTCAACATGAATTTCAATCATCTAATCGCTCGATCGATGGATAAACGCATGTGAAAAAGAAACACAGCGTGCCATTTAGTTAAATTGCCTTCGGCATTGATTATTGGTCGTAGCGTATACGGGAAGCTTTCTATAATTGTCATTTTCTCTCCGAGTGGGAACCGTTATCCCAGTGACAATTTATCCAACCATT